GAAAGAAAGAAAGAAAGAAAGAAAGAAAGAAAGAAAGAAAGAAAGAACTGGTGCAAAAAGACCTGAATGCTTACAGAAGATAACAGTGGTGGATGATGGCAGAATATTTTTTTATGATTAAGAGACCCTTCATAACAGTGGTCCTTCACAGCAGCCAACCAAGTGCACGCTCTCCAGGAGGTAGAAGTATCAATATCCAAATCTAACATAAAAAGAAGACTGYATGRAAGTAAATACAGAGGGTTCACTGCAYGCTGCAAGCCATAAGCCTCAAGAATAAAAGGCTAGGCTGGACTTTGCTCAAGAAAAAAAATCTAAAAAAGCAGCACAGCTCTGGCAGAACATATATTGGACAGATGAAATCAAGCTCAACCTCTACAAGAAGGATGGAAAGAAAAAAGTTTGGTGAAGGCATTGTACAACGTGATTCAAAGCATACCGCATCATCTGTAAAATATAGCAGACAAAGTGTGATGGCTTAGCCATGCGTAGCTGTCCGCGGCACTGGGTCAGTAGTGTTTACTGATGATGTAACGCAGGACAGTAGCAGCTGGATGAATTCTGAGGTATTCAGAGCCATACCTTGTGCTCAAATCCAGCCAAATTCAACCAAACTGGTCGGTGTTTCAATATACAGATGGACAATGACGCAACATCAAGTCAAAGCAACCCAGGAGTTTATTAAAGCGGTGTAAAGCAGTGTGATGACAATCAGCACCTCCAAATCTGAGTCCATGAGTGGATTGTTCTCTCTGGGTTGGGGGTAAGGTACTGCCTYAAGTGGAGGACTTCAAGTGTTTGGGGGTTTTGTTCACAAGTGAGGGAAGAATGGAGTGTGAGATTGACAGACGGATCGATGCAGCTTCTGCAGTATTGTAGACTGTGTACTTGTCTGTTGTGGTGAAGAGGGAGCTGAGCTGTAGGGCAAAACTCTTGTACGCTCTCTGCTCCTACCCTCACCTATGGTCACAAACTTTGGATAATGACCGAAAGAACAAGGTCATGAATAYAGGATGTCAAAATGAGTTTTCTCTGCAGAGTAGCTGGACTCTCCCTCAGAGATAAGGTGAGAAGATCCGTTTTCCAGGAGAGACTCAGACCAGAGCCACTGCTCCTCCACATCGAGAGAAACCAGTTGAGGTAGTTCATCTGGTAAGGATGACACCTGGATACCTCCTCAGGGATGTGCTTCAGTCATGTCTGACTGGGAGGAGACCCTGAGGAAGACCCAGGACACGCTGGAGAGATTATGTCCCTTGTCTGGCCTGGGAACACATTGGAGTCCTCCCAGAAGAGCTGAAAGAAGTGGCTGTGGGCCTTTCTGCTCAAAATGCAGCCCCTGAAACCTGACTCTAGAACAAGCGGTGGATAATGGATGGATGGGTAGACATTGTGCTGCAGCTAGCAGCAGTTGCTAATTCACCATTGCAAATAACCATAAAATTAAATACCTGTGTTTTGGGGAAATTCACACCGTACCTGATTTTTGGGCACATATTCTTACCGTACGTAACTTGTTGAACTCAGTGGGGTTTCTTCCTCATTGCTCATTGTCAGTGAGTGGGCCATTTTGAGTTCGCCTACAGCACGCTTGGAGGCTGAGTGTGATAAAATGTGGCTTCACTTTAGTTAAAGTAGTGTCACGATGGCCCAGTCCATTCCATTTTTTTAAATTATGCCATTATGTTTCACACACTGCAGCTTAAAAGGCTCTGAACAAAATGCAGAGTATCAAAAGTGCATACATTTCAAGGCCCTTATATCTTTTCGTTTCAATCAAATAAATAAATAAGTAAATAAATAAATAAATAAATGTTTTTCAGTGAATAACTTTACTCTCTTCCAGTTTCCACACTTTTCTTCATTCTCATGACTGAGACAGGATCTCTCTGCATGCTAAGCAGGCCTGTGCATGTTCCAATTTATGCTGCCAAAATTACTGGTGTCAATTCCCAAGGCTTAATTACAAAGTGAGCTCAGCACACTGCAGGCATTGATTAAAAGTCGAATCAAAGAGAAAACAACAGAAGTGGAGGTGTAGAAGCAGAGGAGGTGTCTCAGAGTGCACTTCAGGCAGAATGATGTAAAGAGGTGAAAAGAGTAGAACAAGAGGAGCTCTATCAGGTCGACCTCTGGTGCAAAACAAGAAGAACAAGTTCATTACTCTTTAAAACAAATAGCACAAGAATAATGCTCTTTTTCTTCTTTGTTCTAAATCAGCGTCTCCTCTGCGCAGCACAATGTGGATGTTTACCTCTTCTTCACTCTTTTATCTCCCTGTGCAGACACTGAGGGCTGCGAGCACTCGTGGAGGAAGTTTCATGGCCACTGCTACCGATACTTCAGTCGCCGACACACCTGGGAGGATGCAGAGAAGGACTGCAGAGAGCACAGCGGCCACCTGGCCAGCATCCACAGTGCAGCCGAGCAGAACTTTGTCAGAGGTGGGTGGAACACAGCTTCTTCACAGACAGAGCTACAACAGATGCTTAGTGTTTTATTTGATTCAGGAAGCTTAACTTTAGGAAAATTTGTTTTGTAACAGTAATTTTAGGACACTAAACAAAAAAGACTGCAAGTATTAGCAAAATTATATATGAAGGTAAAACAAAAATATCATTTAGTATGCACTCCTGGGTTTATATCCATTTATACCAATGTAAAAATCCCAAGTCAAACCATTCATTGTGACAAAAACATTGCAATTACAAATAAATGTGAAACAAAAATAATAATCTAAAAATAACAGATAAAATAGTAAATGATAATATATGAGAATTTATACAAATCTTTCTATGCCATGAATGCTGGAGTTWCTAACAGATTCTATCATGACTCCATTACTAAGTATTTTGCTTCGACAGTGTTTAGACCAGGGGTCACCAAACTTTTTGAGACTGAGAGCTACTTTTGGGGTACCGAGTAACACGAAGG